CACAGGGATCCCACTGGTCAGCATGACAACACTGAGGGAGAGGAGTCCTGGGTGGACCCTGCATAGCAATTCCTGAGCATGCTTCTCATTCTCAACCCCATGCCTCCAATTCTGAAAATTACGTGAAAAATGTCTGCATGATATGCCCACAGTGGGCTGTCCTGAATTTCCAAAAGTCTGGTAAAGACAAACAGGTAAACTGTATTTAATTAAAATGCTTACAGAAATCAAACAAGTACGATTACTTTTACCTCTGTGATAGCTTTTGTAAGGTTTTCAGAGACTGTAAAGGACCCTACTGATAGTCTCAACAGCCCTAGAGAGAGAAAAATTACACCAAGTGGTACAACTGCAATATCCCTCAAAGGAACAAGTAGAATTTGTTCTACTTAACCAAAACATGTAACAAGAACAGCAAAAATTAAAACTCATGGCCGGGCGTGGTGGCTCACGCCTGTAATCCAAGCACTTTGGAGGCCAAGGCAGGCGGATCACCTGAGGTCGGGAGTTCAAGACCAGCCTGACCAACATGGTGAAACCCTGTCTTAAAAAAAAAAAAAAAAAAAAAAAAAAACTCAAAAAATATGGGTAATTAGCTTTACCAGACTAACCTGGGATCCTATGTACCACTGAGAGCACTGTTTCTAAGAGGAAATTTACTCTGAGTATGAACTATGATTAAGTTCTAACCTGTGCTACCAAGACGAAACCTTACCTCATCCTTTACTCAGCACAGCCACAAATGTAGGCCTAAAGCTCCGTGAGCAACAGGAGGAGGGTAGGAAACATGGGCCTAATACCTCTAATAATGAGACACCAAGGTAAGAATATACCATTTAAGGCTGAAAAATACCTCAATTTCCCAAATGAACTAGGATCGCTTGATAAACAACAGCAAAACCACTCAGTAAGGCTTAATAGATAGTATGAGAAGATAAGCACTAAAAGAACAGGGTGGGCTCTGTGGCTCACACTTGTAATCCCAATATTTTGGGACACTGAGGCAGGAGGATTGTTTGAGCCCAGGAGTTCAAGACCAGCCTGGGCAACATGGCGAGACTCTATCGCTACAAAAAATTTTAAAAATCAAGCAGGTGTGGTGGCGCATGTCTGTAGTCCCAGCTACATGGGAGGCTGAGGCAGGAGGATTACTTTAGCCCAGAAGGTCATGGCTACAGTGAGTTATCATGGCACCACCATATCATGGTGACAAGAGTGAGACCCTGTCTCAAAAAAAAAAAAAAAAACAGTGAGATGGCTCATGATTTTATAATAAACATAAACTTATTTTTTTCAAACTCTTATCTATGTTCTTTATGACAAATTGCTTACCAGTTTTGCTTCAAGTCCAAATATCTAATGTTGACTCCTTCTTTAATAGCTTCATAGTTACTTTCAGATCCCTACATGAAAATATCAATAATGTAAGCTTCTTGAGTGTAGCAATCATTTCTTTTCACCTTTATATCCCTAGCACCTAGTGAAGTGCTTCACCCATGATAGCTCAGTTGCTGAATGAAAATGTACATTTAAAAAAACCACTAAGCAAGTAAACCAGTGCATTTCAGTATTTCTAGAGACTGACTACCCCATTTCCACTTAATCTGATAACTATACACTTGTTTATTACAGTGAAATGTGTTGAAATAAATAAAACACTTAAGAGAACCAGCATTACCATACAACCGTAAACGTGAATTACAGAGATGAGTATTATTGCTCCTTACCCAAATAGCATCGGTAATGTTTTCCTTCAGGGCTCTATTTATATCCCAACTATGCACATGTTTTTCCGAAGAATCATCTAATTCCCATTTACTGATGTTTGAACTTGTCAGGCTGTAAAAACTTGATTTCTCACTGTCCCAAAGAACACTTGAAAGCTATTCAGAGAAGAAAAAGAAGTCAAATTCACAGATTAAGTTCTAATGTTAAAGAATTATTGTTTTAAAACTCATATTTCATGTATTTGATTAGTAATCCTAAAAGAATTCTTCATTCAGGACTTAAGAAAGGGATTCTGGGCCAGGTGTGGTGTCTTAGCCCTGCAATCCTAGCACTTTGGGAGGCTAGGGCAGGTGAACTGCTGGAACTCAGGAGTTCAAGACCACCCTAGGCAACATAGTGAAACCCCGTCTCTACTAAAAAACAAAAAATTAGCCACGTATGGTGGCACACGCCTGTAATCCCAGCTACTCAGCTACTCGGGAGGCCTGAGGCAGGAGAATCACTTGAACCTGGAAGGCAGTGGTTGCAGTGAGTCGAGATCACACCATTGCACTCCAGCCTAGGTAACAGAGCAAGACTCTGTCTCCAAAAAAAAAAAAGTAATCCTGAAATACAGCTTGATAGCAAGGTTAGACTCTACAGGTAGAAGGCCCAGAAGGAGCAGAACTGAAAGATGGGAAAGTTATAGGGTCTTTAGAGAATAAGAAGTCATCCTGTTACATTGGAATATAGATGACAAGTCGAAAAGCAGCAAAAATAAGGATTCTTTGAAAAATAATGAGGCCATATGTGGTGGTTCATATAATTCCAACACCTTGGGAGCCCAAGGAGGGAGGATCATTTGAACTCAGGAGCTTGAGACCAGCCTGGGCAACACAGTGAGACCCTGTCTCTAATTTAAAAAATAAATAAAAATAAAAAATCATGAAAAATTAGGGACATATAGCAGAGAGTTGTCGAACATGAATTTGTAAGTGTAGCGAGCAAGGGAGATATTATCAATAGCTTCTGAACACAGAATTGTGTTTGAATGCATTTGACAGAATGTGTGTAGTCATATACAGGAGTGTTATTTTGCCTCTTCAGTATATACTTAATCATAAAGTATAGATATGTGCCTTTTTAAAGCTGGATATGCATGATTGTTTTGTGTTAAAACTCTATAGTTGTTTCTATTTCTGTCATCATGATTATGGCCACTGATGGGGCAGAAAGGCCAACAGTAAGTAAACTGAGCAGGCCCCAGGAGCTTAGGTGAAATATATCAAGAGTACAGGTTAGGGCATAACATCAAAAGCCAAAATATGGGGACTGAAATGAGATTGGACAGAATTTAATTCTTGTTGGGCATGGTGGCTCACGCCTGTAATCCCAACACTTTGGGAGGCTAAGGTGGGCGGATCATGAGGTCAAGAGATTGAGACCATCCTGGCCAACATGGTGAAACCCTGTTTCTACTAAAATACAAAAATTAACTGGGCGTGGTGGCATGCGCCTGTAGTCCCAGCTACTCAGGAGGCTGAGCAGAAGAATCACTTGAAACTGGGAGGCAAAGGCTGCAGTGAGCCAAGATGGCGCCACTGCACCCCAGCCTGGGCGACAAAGCGAGCAAGGCTCCGTCTCAAAAAAAAAAAAAAAGAAAAAAAGAAAAAAAGAAGTTGTTCCTGGCAAATAACTAGCTTGCTATAGAAGTAGAGGAAGACACAAAAAAATAACAAGGTTTTATAGCTGGGTCACTGAGAAAAAGTGATAGTACTCTTAACAAAAACAGGTCAAAAAAGAAATGAGTTTTATAGGGTTGAGTAATCAGTAGGAGGGAGGAAAGAATACAATAAATTTGTTTTTACACGTTAAGTTTAGGTTTAAGGAACATTTGAGGAAGCAGGTGATGATAGTTATCTGAAGAAGAGGGAAACAGCACAGTAAAAAGGGAACGTTCTGTAAATTCAGACAGGCCTGGGTATGATTCCCAGCTTTGCCACTCAGCAGTTACACACCTTCAGCCTCACTGAGGTGCTTCCTCGTCTGTCAGCTGGAGGGAAAGCACTCTTTACAGGATGTCACAATGATTACACAATATGGATGTAACAACTACGGAGCATCTAGCAGAGTGTAGATGGTCCATAACATTAGTTCCCATCATGCTCCCTTCACTATGCTAGAGCATAGTGCAGAAGTCCAGCCAACAGATCTAGACTTCAGTCATCCACACAGACAGCTGGAGGCATGGGAGTAGAGACATGCTTCTGGCCAAATCTAGAAAGTCAAATTAATCTTCAAGAAACACATTTAAAATTTTACATAATAGTTTTAGTTCAAAAAAATGCACTTGTGAGATCATCTGTCTGATTTAAAGATATTAATGTTACAAGTTGTGAGAGAAAGTTAGTATGAACTCATTTGATCATAATAAAAATAGGTCACTAAAAAGATCAAAGGTTTTATTTTCCAGTATTTTCAACTTACTGATTTAACTAAGAAATAAGCTTGTAAAATAGTTACTTTATAAACTTACTGTGAGATCACTACTAGGAGATAAAATTCCAAAAAGAGAAGAAACTCTTCGACCAATTCCTGAAAGCATGCCTTGCCCTTGAGGCAGGATATGCTGATTAATCTTTCCTGAGCTCTCAGGTATCAATCGAATTAGTTGGCTTCCTGATGAGGACAAAATAAAACTTCCTCCCTGTAAAAAAATATTATGAGATTAGTTAAGCATCTAACGCTAAGATAAAGAAAACTAACAAAAAATGCTCTGATCCAGAGAAAAATTACCATAATTGAAATAAATCTAAAAGAATACAAAGTAGGACATTGTTATTTCATTAAAGTTATACATTTCAGAATCCATTCAGTTAATATTATTAATTCTATATAGAAAAACTTCCATAAGAGGAAAGAAAAACTGGCCGGGCGTGGTGACTCACGCCTGCAAAATCCCAGCACTTTGGGAGGCCAAGGTGGGTAGATCACTTGAGGTCAGGAGATCAAGACTAGCCTGGCCAACATGGTAAAGCACCGTCTCTACCAAAAATATAAAAATTAGCTGGGCGTGGCAGCACGCACCTGTAATCCCAGCTACTTGGGAGGCTGAGGCACAAGAATTGCTTGAACCTGGGAGGTGGAGGTTGCAGTAAGCTGAGATTGCATCACTGCACTCCAGCCTAGGTGACACAGAGTGTCGCAATAAAAACAAACAAAACAACAACAACAACAACAACAAAAATTCTGTACCAGAAAAAAATTTCCTCATGTTTAAATTCTGATTTTTAATCGCTTCTCGGCCTTTTGGCTAAGATCAAGTGTAAATTCTGATTTTTAAACTACATGTTCACCATATTGCAGATTCAACAAATTAGGTTATCAGATTTTATTTTTATTTTTCGTTTGCTATTTTACTTTTTTTTTTTAGAGACAGGGTCTGGCTCTGTTACCCAGGCTGAAGTCGCAGTGGTGAAAACCCAGCTCACTGCAGCCTCAGTCTCCTGGGCTCAAGTGATCCTCCTGCCTCAGCCTCCTTAGTAGCTGCGACTACAGGTGCAAACCACCAGGCCTAGATAATTTTTAAATTTTTTTGTAGAAACAAAGTTTCACTATGTGGCTCAGGCTGGTCTTGAAGTCCTGGCCTCAAGCAATTCTGCTGCCTCAGCCACCCAAAGTGGTGAGATTACAGGCATGAGCCACCATACTCAGCCAGATTTTGTTTCTTTGTGAACCTACAAAGAAGGTATTAGCAAACCATTCTTTATAGTATCTTTTTTTTTTTTTTTTTTGAGACAGAGTCTCACTCTGTTGCCCAGGCTGGAGTGCAGTGGTACAGCCTTGGCTCACTGCAACCTCCACCTCCTGGGTTCAAGTGATTTTCCTGCTTCAGCCTCCCAAGTAATTGGGACAACAGGTGTGCGCCACCATGCCTGGCTAATTTTTATATTTTCAGTAGAGATGGGGTTTCACCATATTGGCCAGGCTGATCCTGAACTCTCGACCTTGTGATCCAGCTCCCTCGGCCTCCCAAAGTGCAGGGATTACAGGCGTGAACCATCATGCCCGGCCCATCTCTGATGGTTTTTAAGCTACTCTCATAAAATGTTTTTAAGAAATGCGTATCACTAGCTGCTATCTGATATTGAAATTTTAGAGCCCTGTAAGAAAAGCCTCCATTGTCTAACTGTTCAAATCATAGATCCTTACGTTCTTCTCTTCCTTATCTCATTTTGATCCCTCCCTGGCCTGTATAGTAGTAGTCTCTTCAAAACTTCACATTTTTAGCCATCAAATCTCATTTCCAAGGCTAAGTACAGCGGCTTATGCTTGTAATCCCAGTACTTTGGGAGGCCAAAGCAGGAGTTATTGCTTAAGCCCAGGAGTTTGAGAACTGCCTGGGAAACATAAGGAGATCCCATCTCTAATTTTAAAAATAAATAAAAATATCATTTTCAAGTCAAATCACAGCTTTCCAGCAAATATAAAGAAATATCCATGGTATACCTGCACTGCTGTTAGGAAACTGTAAGTCTTATCACCTCCCAAATCTACAAAAGTCTCTGTGTGGGTATCTTCACTAGCAAGACTTGGCCAATAGCAGATGGATCCTTCTCTGGTGGCAACCATGACAGCAACAGCCTCAAAACAAGATCATAACAATCAGCAATCACAATAAAAGAAGAACTCAAAAACCAGGAGTCTGATGGCACTGATACAATAGGACAATTTACTATTTAATCAAGAAAAAACAGAAATAAGAACTCACCAGTGTTTTGGTTTGCATTTCTCTAATGGCTAAAAATGCCAGACACCTCTTCATGCGCTTATTTGCCATCCTTATATCCTCACAAAGTGTCTGTTCAAGTCCTATCCCCTATTTTTAAATTGCAATTTTCTTATCAAGTTTTTAGAATTTGTAAACATATTCTGGAAACAAGTCCTATGCCAGCTACATGATTTACAAATATCTTTTCCCACTCTGTAGCTTGTCTCTGCATTTTCTTGTCTTTGGCAAAACATTGTTTTAAATTTTTATTTTACTTTAATTTTAATTTTATCAAACTTTTATTTTATGGATCATGCCTTTGGTAATTTCCAACTCGTCTAATCTCAGGTCATGATGATTTTCTCATGTTTTCTTCTAAAAGTTTTCCTTTTTTTTTTTTTTTTTTTTTAAGAGTAACAGTATCAGGGGAAAGTTTTACTGTTTTACATTTAGATCTATGACTCATTTCAAATTAATCTTTGTAACAAAGTTTAAGGTCTAGCAGAAAATTCACTACAATACAAATTGGTCATTTGTAATTTTAAAATTACAAATGTTCCTACACTATGCATTGAAAGGACCATCCTTTCTCCCCTGAATTGCTTTTGCACCTTAGTCAAAGATCAAATGGATGCCTTTATGTGGATCTGTAACCGTATTCTCTATTCTGTTACACTGACCCATTTGTGTAGCTCTCTTTGCCAATATCACCATGTCTTGAGTTCTATAGCTTTATAACTATGTCTCAAAATCAAACAAGATGATTCCTCCAACTTTAGAATGTCCTTATTTTAAAAAGTTTATTTCAATAAGCTTTTAAGTCACCTACCTGAATAGAAGGTGCTTCACCTGAGGGAGCAGAATAAGACAGAGCCACCAAGTTGGCACTCTGGTGGAAATCACTAGGTGGCAGCTGAAGTTCTTTGCAAACAGATAACTGCAGAGCAAACCCAAACAGAGAATCTTTCACATCAAATCCATTATTTTGAAGATGAGTCTGATTTCCCTTTCTGCATATTTTAGATTCTGACTCATTGCTGGAAACACCATTCTACAAATATTCTTTCTTCTTACATCTCATTTTAATCAGGTTTTCGGTAATTTTAAAACAAAGTATCTTAAGAGATATTAAATCATGAAAACTTAAAGCTAGACCAAATTCTGAAGAACAACTATCCTAATTTCTTCCCAATCTAGAAAAGTCCAGTTAAGAGAAGGCTAAAGTTAAGAGAAGTGCTTAGGTTTTCTATGGAATTTTCCCAAGCTACTCTTGATTTGTTTATCTGACATTTAAAATTAGCATGACCAAAGAGTAATTATACCAAGTTACCTAGGAACTATTTCTTAGACTCTCAGTCAAATATCAGGATCCCTCAGCTAACTCAGAATGTCCCCCAGAACTTTTCCCTGACCTATTACTCCTAACCACAAATACCATTTTCTTTTTTTCTTTCTGGTTTTCTTTTCTTTTTTGTTATTATTATGATTATTATACTTTAAGTTCTGGGATACATGTGCAGAATGTGCAGGTTTATTACATAAGTATACATGTGCTGGAAGTGGTGGTGGCAGGGGAAAAAACAGGAATACATGTGCCATGGTGGTTTGCTGCATCCATCGCCCCGTCATCTACATTAGGTACTTCTACTAATGCTATCCCTCCCCTATCCCCCCACCCCTCAACAGGTCCCAGTGTGTGATATTCCCCATAACGTGATGTGTTCTCATTGTTCAACACCCACTTACGAGTGAGAACATGTGGTGTTTGGTTTTCTGTTCTTGTGTCAGTTTGCTGAGAATGGTGGTTTCCAGCTTTATCTATGTCCGTGCAAAGGACATGATGTCATCCTTTTCTATGGCTACATAGTATTCCATGGTGTATATGTGCCACATTTTCTTTATCCAGTCTATCACTGATGGACATTCAGGTTGGTTCCAAGTCTTTGCTATTGTGCACAGTGCCACAATAAACATATATGTGCATGTGTCTTTGTAACAGAATGATTTATAATCCTTTGAGTATATACCCAGTAATGGAATTGCTGGGTCAAATGGTAACAAATACCATTTTCTAGGCAGCAGTAACCCAAAGTTCAGCAGAAATGAAGAGTTTAGGTAAGCAGGTGCCCTGAGTTAAAAAGTGAGTAATGAGTGGTGGAAGAGAGTAGTGTATCTAAGCTGTAACAAACAGAAAAGAGGTTGCTGAGGATAATTACTACGCATGCAAATGATAACCCACTGCTGGAAGTGGACAAGCCTAACTAGCAATTGGCGTCATTTTTTTTTAAATTTTATTAACCATCATTCAGTAGATTCAACAAAACATAGTTCTACTGTCTCAGAAATATGCAAACTCAAAGTTCATTTGATTATGTGGGTAGTATTTAGTCCGATACTTCACTAGGCAGACTGATTAGCATTATATTCGCTGAAAATTTTAATGACTCCAATTTTATTAAATGCAAACACAAATCTTATTTAAAAATTATTAATACAGGGAAACTTCTTTCCCAGTACACAAATGTGTACACATGCTCATTATATCACATCACTATGAAAATGCAAACCCTTAATACCTAAGTAGTTTCATATTTACTATCCTCTATCAACTGTAAAAATTAGGGTAAAAATTAAAAGTCAATTGGTATTCCTCTCCTCTATCTCCTTACAGCGCTCTAAAGAGCCATTACCTTAGTAATAGGTGACAGAGCAATCTTCCAAACAATGAGCTTCTCTTTGCACACCAGACAAGCCCATCCACCTTCATCTATGTAAACAGTCATCTGATCATCAACTAAAGGAAAAAATGAGGTGAGTGATTAATCTTACAGTATAAATATAAATCTTTACTACCACACGCTTTATCAAAAAAAGTAATTATTACACTCAGGAAGGACTAATTCATAACAAATACTTTTTTTTAATTTCTTTTTTAAGAATTATTTTTTTTTTTTATTGCATTTTAGGTTTTGGGTACATGTGAAGAACATGCAAGATTGTTGCATAGGTCCACACGTGGCAGTGTGGTTTGCTGCCTTCCTAACAAATACTTTTGAATATTCCAAAATTATCAACCCTCAAAACAAGAGATTTATTTAACTCTGATAACCACCTTTAGAAATATATCCAAAGGTGGGCCGGGCGCGGTGGCTCACGCCTGTAATCCCAGCACTTTGGGAGGCCGAGGCGGGTGGATCACGAGGTCAAGAGATCGAGACCATCCTGGTCAACATGGTGAAACCCCGTCTCTACTAAAAATACAAAAATTAGCTGGGCATGGTGGCGCACGCCTGTAATCCCAGCTACTCGGAAGGCTGAGGCAGGAGAATTGCTTGAACCCAGGAGGCGGAGGTTGCGGTGAGCCGAGATCACGCCATTGCACTCCAGCCTGGGTAACAAGAGTGAAACTCTGTCTCAAAAAAAAAAAAAAAAGAAAGAAAGAAATCCAAAAGTAAAAACAAAAACAAAAAAGAAATATATCCAAAGGCAAAAAGTATATTTGAGACATTTAATATTCCTTAATTTTTGTTACAAACAGATCAAGTAGCTTAATTCCTGTAAAACATATTTAGGCCAGGCATAGTGGCTCATGCTTATAAATCCCAATACTTTGGGAGGACAAGGTGGGAGGATTACTTGAGGCCAGCCTGGGCAACACAGTGAGACCCCCATCTCTAAACAATAAAAATAGCCGGGCGCGGTGGCTCAAGCCTATA